GGGCAATATGCTGACTCTGTAAACCGCTTAGAGAGGGCTGAAAGCCCTATGAAGCGGTATATAAGTCTAACTGCTATTGCTATTGCTATTGTTTAACTAACAAAGTTGGAAGGGCCCTTAGAGGTCATCTAGTCCAACCACTCGAACTGCCGACCTTTCCGATCGACAAGCTCAGCCACCTAGCCAGGTCTATGGGGCTCAAGGCTTCCTTCTTCACGGGGCCAGGACCCACAGAGACTCCTGAGCTGGCCGGGCTGAGCTGGAGGGCTCCGAAGAGACCGGATGGGTGGCCAGAGACCCCGAGGGGGCTTCCCTGCTCTCTTCTCCGGCCACTGGGCACTCTCCCCCCCCATCCGTTTGCCAGAGCCCCCTTGCTTGGCCAGTGCTGGCTGCTTCTCTGCCCCACTTCCCCAGGACAGGAAAGCCTAGGGTGTGTGTGGGGGGGGGGGGGCTTTAAGGCCTCTGGGCTTCGATCTGAGGAGGGCTTCAGGCCAGTTTCACTTAACAACGGTGGTAGGGAAGCTCCTAAAATGGGGCAGAATTCACTTAACAAATGTCTCGTTTAGCAACCAAAACTTTGGCTTCAATGCTGGTCAAAGTTTGAGGAGGATAAATTGAAAAACAGCTGCTGGGTATCTGCAGGAAGCGACTATCCTACAAAATTCTAAAATGGTGTTGGAAAACCTCTCCTTGTTTCGCAATAACCGGACAGGACCGTGAGGAACCCACCTCTGGTGGGGAGGTGGGGTTAAGATCTCTGGGATTCAATTGGAGGAGGGGTCCAGAGCACCTTCCCTGCAGGAGGGGCTAGAATGCATCCCCCCCAAGAGCCCCTCCCTGTGGAGGAGGAGCCAACGAGCAGCTTTCCCTTCCAGGCTCAGCAAAGGGAGAAACGGAAGGGAAGAGCTCCATGGCGGCCTCAGGGGAGCAGACGGCCTTGGGGCAGCTGGGCCAGGAGGCCACCTGCCCACTCTGCCTGGACTTCTTTGAGCAGCCGATGGTCCTGTCCTGCGGGCACAACTTCTGCCACCATTGCCTGGCCCAGCTGGGCACTAGGTTTTCCTGCCCCCAGTGCAGAGCCCCGGTGAACTCCAGCAGCGCCTGCCCCAACCGTGCCCTGGCTAACATCGTCTGCCGTTTGAAGGGGCTCCGGACGTCACAGGGAGCCCAGGAGGAGAGCAATGGCCGCCGGCTGTGCCAGGAACACGGGCAGCCCCTGCAGAGCTTCTGCTCCAGCGAGAAGAGACTCCTCTGCCCTGGCTGCCTGGGGGGGCACCAGGGCCACCCCCTCCTCCCTCTGCCTGAGGCTGCCCAGGAGTACAAGGTAGGGAGCGAGCACCCTGGGGCCAGGCTCTGCAGAAGGGGGGAGCTGGGCAGTCCAAACTGCATGGGCCACTCCATCAGCTCTTTGGGGGAGGCTCAGGCAGAGGGGCTCCCAAAGCCCCCAGAAAGATGGGAAGATGATCCTGGGAGCAGTGAGTGGCCCACAAAGGCTTCCACTTAAAAAATGGCTGAGGAGGGTCAGGCTCTTTTTCGGCAGTGAGAGAGGAAATGAGGTGTGTGAGGGGGCAGACTCAGTTCTCGCCTCCTTGTGGACCCCCCAGCAACGCGTCCCCTTGAGTGTAGCACCGGGGTCCTTGTGGCCCCCCTCTGGGTGGGAGGACTGCCATTGTGGATCCAGGAATGGCACCCTCTTCTCCATGCACAGAACCTGCTGCGTGGCCTCCTGGAGCCCCTGAGGAAGGAGGGGCAGAAGCTGCTGGAGCAGAGGGAGGAAGAAGAGCAGAGACGGCAGGAGATCCAGGTGGGTCTCTCGGGGAGGGGGCAGGAGGCAGCCCCCCAGGAATGCTGGGAAATCTCCCCCCTCCCTCTGAATCCCTCCTCTTCTGCCTCTGCACCCTCAGGAGCAATTTGCTGCTGAGAAGGAGAAGGTGGGCCTGACGCTGGAGTCCCTGCAGGAGTTGCTCCGAGAGAGGCAGCCGATCTGGCTGGCCTGGCTGGCTGAGCAGGAGGAGAAGATGGAGGCCAAGTGCGGGGTCACCCTGGCCCAGCTCTCCGGGGAGACCTCCCGCCTGCAGCAGCTGATTGCCCAGACGGAGAGGAAATCCCGCCAGCCGGACGTGGAATTCTTGCAGGTGGGGTTTGGGGCTCTCGCTGGCCTCAAGAGCGGGAAGGAGAGGTTTCCCCACCTTGGAAGGGTCCCAGACCCCCTTCTCTGTTCTCTTTCAGGAGATCCAGGACACCGTAGAGAGGTAGGTGCCATCTTGCGTTTTTCTGCCTCTGTCCTTGTGGGTCCGTTTGTGCTCAGAATTCCTTGGGCGGCGGTGGACTTCCTGGGGGCGTGGCCTGTTGCCGAGGAGGGCNCCTTTTGAGTTTGACAATATAATACATTATCCAAAATTATAATCTTATTTTCCCTCCTTCATTCCCTCTGTCTTTCTCTCAACTTCCCCTCCCTCCTTCCTTTCCTCCCCCTTTCTCTCAACTTCCCCTCCCTCCCCCCTTCTCTCCACAACTTCTCCTCCCTCCTTTTGACAAACGTTTGTAAAAGTTGTTCTTCAGAAGGAAGAGGCGGGTGGTTCCTTCCGGCCTTGGTGAGGGGTGGGTTGCAAGCACTTTGACTAGGCTGGGCTCCTGCACGCCCGTCCTGGTGAGGCCTCCCGTCGCCGCTGAACGGGGCCGGACAGGGAGCGCGACCCAACGCTTGCCCTGGCCCTCAGGCAGGCGGGTCCAAGGGCCCTGGGAGCCGCGTCCATTTCCCACGCCAGTCCTGCGAGGGAGGCTCCTCCTTTCTGCTCCCCGAAGCAGGGCTCCCCAGACTTGGCCACTTTAATAAGACTGGTGGACTTCAACTCCCAGAATTCTCCAGGCAGCTCTGCTGCCTGGAGAATTCTGGGAGTTGAAGTCCACCAGTCTTATCAAAGTGGCCATGTTGTGTAGACCTCTGCCCTGAACTGACCCTCGCCCCCACTCGGGAGGGTCGCCCGAGGGAAGCAGCCTTCTCTCCACGGGGACTTTGGGCGCCACCTGGACTCTTTTGGCCGCCCTGGGAGCGTCGGGGGCGGGTCAGGAAGCTAATCCCGGGCAGCTCCCCCACGGGGGTCTTGCGAAAGAGAAGCCCCCACGGCGCCCGTGCTCAACGCGTGGCCAGCTTCCCTCAACCCGCGTGGCGTGGAAAGGCCCGCCTGACACACACACATACACACCCTTTCGGGAACCCCGTGGAAGGGAGCAGCAGCTTCTGCGCAGGCGCAGAGCCCGTTCTCCTCAGCCTCCCAGCCGGGAAACGAAATCGAAAGCTCCGGCGAGCCGTTGCTCCTTCTACGCAGGCGCACAGCCCGTTCTCAGCCTCCCAAGAGGCCGGAGAGGTTCGCTCTGTTGGAGCTGCCTTTCGCCGCAAGCAAAGTTGCGCCCTCGGTCCAGGCTCCGGTGCCCTTCGGAGGGGAGGCTGTGCTGGGTGAAGGGCCGAAGGGGCCTTGCAGGTGAGGCCTCCTCCCCCCCAAAGACATTCGGAGTTTCCTCTCGGTACTCCCGGGAGGTGGGGGGGGGGGGGAGCAGGGAAGGGAGGGGCTCAGGAGGGCAAAAAGGGGG